GTACTGGGGGGGAGGTGGGGGGGCACTCGTCACTCGGCTTTAGTCTACGCTGTAATATACACTCTAACAAGTTTTTACTTTTGCATAAAACTCATGACAAAGTCGCATAAAAACATTTCATATAACGCAAACGTGCACACACACACACAGACACAGACACACACACACACCTACCTACCTTTACCGGCTGCTGTGTTAGCTTCCTGCTAGCTGTCGTGTGGAGGTGGTCTTTCCTCTCTCGTCTTGGCATTAAAAGGGGATAATTGTACATTTCCCTTTTGTAGCCTCCGTCTTCTCATTTCTGATGCTGGCTCTTGAATATCCTCAGGTTAGAAATGCTGATTACAAACGCAAGCGTGAGCTTTTAAAGATAAGTTTTCATTGCAATGCTGTCACCTCCTCATCTAAAGGAAAAAGGATAAAAACTAACTACTCTATCGTACCTGCTGTTTAGTGGACACAGCGGCACACAACAGAACTCACATTTTATACCAGTAGCTCACAGATGCTTTAACTTTTGTGACTTTTCACAGACTAGTACTAGCAGCTTACGCTAAAAACATAGGCAGTGAGCAGGGAGTGGAAGGGAGGAGCGTGGCAAGTCTTTTACCGGAAATACGTCATTAATGACCGTGGCATATAGGCTATTGTGAGATAATAAACAATAGGACTGCAATGATTCCTCAAACAATTTGAATAATTAGATTACTAAAAATCCTCGAGGCAAATTTTCTGCCTGGAAGCTTCATTAAAAACAGATATTGTTTTAATCGGCACACTTTTGTCTGTCCGGAACTTCATTTGTGTTGCACATCACTACATTAGCGCTTCTGCTAACAGCTACTCTGTTGACACGTGTATGCTAAGGGAGACAGAGTGTCCCAAAATGAAGTAACCAGAAAGAGACAGAAACTGTCAAAAGTGTGGGAACATTTTAAACCAAACCAAAAGCACAGCACAGCACAGCACAGTGCAGAAAACAGCTGATCCATGTACCAAACACATCTGGAGTTAACAACAGGTATCGATTATAATCCCTTTGAAAAATACGTTTACCTGAATCTGTGATAATCTGTCACGTTTCAAACATGGAACAAAGAGGTACGTTTGATCTAACTATACATGAACTATGAACACTGCGCCAACTTAATAATAGTTTTAATAAAAATATAAATTTACTTTGACTATTAGGAATAACAAGGGAACATTTTTATTTATATTTTTATTTATTTTTAATATACAGTATTGGTGGGGGAGGACCAGGGAGGATGATTCAACCACTCAACCACTAGATGTCGCTGAAAACAACAAATCCTACACACTGTTCCTTTTAAGCTTAGCAGCTTGCTCAGGTGTATTTTAACAATAATACATGTAAATGAAATGAAAATATCTAAAAATAAATTATAAGATAAAAATAAAAGTGCAAGTAGTATTTAAAACAAGTAGTTAATGCACAAACAACTCAAACTAACAGCCACTAATGTAGCCCCTCAGACAGCATGAGGGGCTACATTAGTGGGTAAATACAACTTTACAAAAACATTAAAATGCTGTCAATTTTTATATTCATTGTCGTGGATTATGTCGACCAATTGTTGCAGCCCTAATAAATAAAGTATTAAAAGTCAGAATTCACTCAGTACTTATTCTGCTCCAAAGAAATACTCTTACTTTCCTTTATTCCACATTCAGTTTTTCCTCACTTACGAACAGCTGAAGAATATCAACGTGTGACTGAAAGTGTGACGGAGTGAGAGAAGAGTGTGAGACCTGAGACAAGCTGAGAAGACCAAAATCAGGACTGGATGGAAGATTCTAGATGGAAGGAACAGGATGGCAGTACCTGAATGTAAACCTGAGTTAAAGGACGGTCACAGTTTGTGTGTGGGCTGAAGCCTGAGGCTAATGCGGATGGGACAGAGAAGCCACCACATGGTGATTTTTACTGCTCCTCATGTAAGGCATTGTTTCTGCACGGGGCTGTTGAATGTCTCACTGAAACAGTGGCGCTGCGTTAGATATATTGAGGAAAAGGCATTCAGGTTATTTTAGTCCCGATCACATAAAGTGCTCTCCAAATCATGTGCCTTAGATTCCAGCTGTGTAAGCTGCACGTGGACTTGTTGGGCAGCAGTGGACAGGTGGTGTGATCATCCCTTTTTATTTTTTTATTTGAGAGATATTTTTTTAAAAGATATTTAAAGATTGGACAAATTTTGAAAAAAATGTGGCTTTTATAAAAATATATATTTCTAAAAAGACAGTTTGGTCAGTGGAAATTGAAAATATTTATAATACTTTTTGTTTCCCTTGTGTGTTTACAATGTAAAGAGTCCTGTTCTACTGTAACGAAGAAGTTATTTATAGATGGTTTGAAGACCAGAGTGGTTGCGTTGACAGGACGTATCACACGTGTGAAGAGATAAGTGAGTCCAGTAAATATAGACTCAGTCACTTTGGAGTTGACATTACGCTGCCTGAGCTCTCATGCCATTGGCACTTAAAACAGTTCTTATAAATTATTACATGAACTTACGTATTCAAGGTTCAGACGACCCGGTTAGAATAATGCAACAGAAGGTGCATAATGACAGAACCATAGTTCTAATAATGTGCTGTATTTGTACTTTACACACTGCTTATCTGTGAGCTTTCATTGGAAACGAAGACTGTTTGCCAGCTCTGTCTGCTGCAGCCAAACTGTGTGCCAGTGTTATTTTGTTACATATCTATTTAAACAAAGCTGTAATCTTGTACATCTGAAATAAAAGGCAAAATCTGAATGTCTGTTGTGTTTCAGAGGCTCCACAGTGTGGCACTGTGGTGCTGCACATTTCAACCCAGATAAAGCACACGAGCTGTTGGAGTCATTCCCAATTCCCAGCGCTCAACTTTGAGGCCACATAACAATTGTTTCAGAGGATTTCCTCGTTTCAAGTATGCAGAATTGTGCAGCACGCCGCAGACTCATGAATTTTTCAGGGGAATTGAAGATGTAATTGTTTTATTTCTGTGGCTAAATTCCCAGTTTTCCTTCAACTAAGCTGGTTTGAGGAGACGACGGGAGCTCGAGGGATCCAAGCCAGGAGTGTTCTGTAGATCTGTGCGTCTGGTTTATTTAGAAAGGATCATCGTGGGACTTATTACTTGTGCAGAGAACTGAGATTTTATCTGCTTCATCTAAGCCATAAGTTGCACTGCAGGGAGAGGCTGAAACAACGCCACAAAGCTCGCAAGAGCTGCTTTTAACACGTAGTATTCACACCATAAAGCATGTTTATAAACGATGTTTGAATGGTACTAATGCAGCTACTGCCCTAAATTCTATCATCCGTCAATCTTATAAAGTCTAGTATTTAAATTTGGATTTCTGTAATAATCAAAGGTGACAAAATTTTATAACTTATAGACAGAGGTGGACAAAGTACTCAACTCTAGTACTTGAGTAAAAGTATTGATACTCATGGTCAAATCTACTCCACTACAAGTAAAAGTTACTCAGTCAAAAATCTACTCAAGTAAAAGTACTGAAGTACTTACTTTTGAAAATACTTAAGTATTCAGA